TCATTAATAGGGTAATTCCATACCTTAAAATTTTTAATAATGTCGTGTTATAAAAAGTATATAAATTATGGTACCGTGTTATAAAAAATATAATTCACACGGAGGATAAAAAGTATAACTTTTAAATACCTTTTTACAAAAAGTATAAATATTACGGAGTACTTTTTATACTTTTTATGATACCGTGTAAATAAAAGTATTCTACACCAAATATTATTTGGTCCAACATTATATATTATAAATGAAATTTAAAGGTTTGGAAATGGAAATGATAGTGTGAAAAAATATCGATAAAAAAATATCGGTGTTTTTGTTTTTAATTTGTACGTATTTTAAATAAGGCAATTTCATTATAAACAACGTAATAATAATAATAATAATAATAATAATAATAATAAAGGTAGGTTCCTTTTACGTGATTACCATGTATAAAATATTATCGTCTTTGGAAAAAAACATGAAAGCATTGCCTTGAAAAAAAATATTATCATACCTTAAAGTATCGAAATTAAAATTACCGTTGTGTTTGCATTTATACTTTTTCGTTATTTTAAATAAAGTGATTTCTTTATGCACGACTTTGGTAAGAATGTATCATAAATACACATTGATAATTAAAAATTTAAGGTAACCTCAACAAATAATTATCTTTCCTTTTTTTTACTTTATACGTATTTAAATAAGGTAACTTCATTATAATCAATGTAATAATATTATTAAAAAAAGGTATGTTTCTTTTTTGCGAGTACCATGTATAAAAAATTACTATCTTTAAAAAAAACGTTGCCTTGAACAAAAAAATATTCTCACATCTTAAAGTATCCGAATTAAAATTACAGTTGTATTTCCGTTTATACTTTTTAGGTATTTTAAATATAGGTTTTTCTTATATATGGTTTGGTAAGAAAGAATCATTAATACACGTTCATAATTAAAAATTTAAGTTAAAAAAGGAATGTTGAAATGGTAAGTAACACCAACCGTGTAATTTGGCCAAAAATATTACATTGTAATTTTAAAAATAAATATTTTGAAAAAGGAAAATAGAATAAGCCAAAAACATTTCATAGTATAAATGCGATCATTTGCAAGGATTTTCGTAATTAATTTCTTTCTAGTGCACTTTTAAATATGGCCATTGAAGAAAAAATTTAATTTAGTAACGTATATATGACCCGTGCAACGTGCGGGTGTGATACTAGTGTGTATAAGTTGGGGTTCAGGGGGTGGGCAAACTGCCTGCAATGTAGGTATTGATGACGATTGAATAACAATTGAGTTTTTGAACGAAAACAAATGCTCAGGAATCTCAAACCACAAAATAGTCTTGAAAAAAAGGGTATCGATTATGCTATTGAGAAACATTAACCAAACATCTAGATTGTATAATGAGACAAGATTAATCATTCAAGAGCTGCGAAATAATGTTATCGGTACAATTGTGGTTTCGGGAAATCGAGTCGGGGAAAAAGTTTACAGGGCTACCCTTGAAGTTCCAAAGAAGACAATTTTTGATCGCCTCATGTCTTGCAATAACTATCAACAAAAAACAAGGTCAAATATTGTCATTTGTGGGATTATTTTTAACTATGTTAGCGTTCACACATGATCAACTATATTTTTCTTTTTCACGAGTGAAGACAAAAACAATATTAAAAATATTAATTCTAAATGGCAATGGAAACCCTTGACACCATACCAAAAATATTGTATACCCTGAAGTCTTTCAGAAAATTTGGTATTAAAATAAACATGGTTAACTTTACTTTATGTTCCTGAAATAATATTTATTTTACTTTGGTTTTTTTCATTTATAGTATTAAAAATCATGTGAGTAATATTTTTTCTTTATTCAAAAAAATAAATTTCATTGAAATAATTCAAAATCAAAATAAATTTCTATTGACCCCGTGCATGGCACGGGTAAGAGTACTAGTAATACTAAAAAAATCAGTTTCAAAGATTAGTAAATCCTACATGAGTAAAAAATCAATTGAAAAGGTATAATATTAAAAAAAATAAACTAATATTGACATGTTACTTTGAAAAATTAGAATATATTTCTCCGAGAATAAAGAAGCTGGAATATTTAAATGAAATATATATTTTAATAAATTGAATATATATTTGCGGTGCTTGAAAAGGTATAATCCGAAGCACATTTTAGAAAAANTAATACTAAAAAAATCAGTTTCAAAGATTAGTAAATCCTACATGAGTAAAAAATCAATTGAAAAGGTATAATATTAAAAAAAATAAACTAATATTGACATGTTACTTTGAAAAATTAGAATATATTTCTCCGAGAATAAAGAAGCTGGAATATTTAAATGAAATATATATTTTAATAAATTGAATATATATTTGCGGTGCTTGAAAAGGTATAATCCGAAGCACATTTTAGAAAAAAAATACAAAGCATGTTCCAAATATCTAATTTCCTTTAAAGAAAAATAATTAAATTTGTGATTAATAAGAGCTCTTCAAAGATCGAATGAAATGGTGAAATCAGACCCAAATTTCAAAAAAAAAACGATGTTTCTTTTAAATCCCTTTACTCCTTTTAAGAAAAGTATATATTAAATTTTGTTTGAAATTAGATCTTCAAACAGAGAAGAAAATAGTGGAATCCGACCAAAATTTCAAGAAAAAACATACATAATCTAGAACATTCAAATCCATTGAAGACAAATGAATATATAATGGTGGATGATTTTTAGATCTTCAAAAATCGAAGAGGATGGTTAAATCAAAACAGATTTCAGATATATACATATGCATGCTCCAGATTCTTCAACCCGTGTAAAGAAAAATAAATATTTAATTTTGATTTGAAATTAAAATGTTAAAAAATCGAAGAAGATGAAATAATGGAATCAAAAACTTACCCAGCCTGCCTGACCGAAGCTTTCCATCGTCTTCCAATGTTGAAATTCATCGAATCAATGAAAGACAATGAGAAACCAATCGGAAAACGATTGAATGTGGAGAGAGAGAGAGAGAGAGAGAGAGACGGTGCGGTTGAGAAGTCGGAAGATGAGGGGGCGGCTAGGTTAGGGAAATTAACAATTCGTGGGTTGGGCCGGGTCAATGGTTGGGCTGGGTATATTTTTTAGGATTGGGCTAAGGTTTGGTTTGATTTTACATTAAAATATTATGATTTTCTACATAAAATTCAAATATTTTCCTTAAAGGTGTTTAATTTACCAATTATACATAATTGGAGTAAGATTAAAAAGTTATTAATTTCTTAATTTATTAGATTGTGTAAGAATTTGGACAATGCGTTTTGCCCAAACGCCTTTTTTGTTTTGTAATTTTACTTATATTTTTTAAAGTGATATTATAATTTTTCTTGATTAATAGTAACGTGTACGTTATTCGTGTAAAATAGATATTGGAATTAGATTGATTGTTACAAGATTGGGCACTCACTTGATTCAAGGAAAAGTCATGAGTGGTAAGAATGCAGGTCATGAAGTAGTCATACCTCGACTTACGCTCACACCTTCGGATACTCGGATTCCGTTTAAGTTTCAAAGAAAGCAGTTCCCTATCATGACTTCCTACGCAATGATAATTAACAAGAGTCAAGGCCAATCGTTGAAGCACGTGGGATTGTTGCTCAAGAAACCAGTTTTCAGTCACGGCCAACTTTACGTTGCTATCTCTCGAGTCACTAATAGATATGGTTTGAAGGTTTTGATTTGTAATGATGACCTACAACCTTCAAATAACACAAAAAAATGTAGTGTACAAAGAAGTCTTTCAGAACATTTGATGTAGCCTTTTTTTCTTGCTATTCATTCCTCAATATTTCTATGTAATACTTTTAATGCTTATATTTGAAATAATTTCAATTCGTTGTCTTTATTTTCAATATAAATTTAAAATATATTTTTCGTTTACTATGACAAACTAATGACCGTGCAACGCACGGGTTAGAGAACTAGTAGTGTTTTAAGAATGACAACTCTCATTTATTGTGTTTCCGTGTTAGTGCAATATGCCAGTAAGACCACCTCCCTATAAACTCTAAACATGTATTACCTCCGACCCCCTAAGATCTTCTCGTTTTGACTTTTAGTGATTTTTAAAGAGAGTTGAAAAAAGTGAAAGTTTACCAAAATACCCTTAATGAAAATGGGTGGGGTGTATTAAATAAGGTGGAAAAGGTGTAATATATATAGTAAGTGGGGGTAGTTGTGGTAATTGTCCGCCTGAGCTGCGCAACAGGTCAAAAGAGAGGATGTCAAGCCTATTAATCATAGGGTCGAATCCCTGCAGCGAAAGTGTGGGAGTTCTATTATTTATAATAGCTCTTTGTGTGTACTGGGCACGAGACAGCCTTTCTAAATACCATATTGAGATTATATCATGATTTATCCCCTCACAATTTTGTCGGGCCGGGTGTGGGGGCGCCTGGAGTAGGTGTTCCACCTTTTCTTAAACATGTACTACCTCCGTCCCAGTGTATTTATCCAGTTTGACTTTTTTGAGTCAAACTAGACAAACTTTGAACTCCAATTACTCTCAATTTATATTTCATATTAGCATAATAAAATACAATTTTGAAAGTTCTCAATACGATAAATCCAATAAAGTCATTTTTATGTTAAAATACATTACGATTTTTATTTAATTGAAGCTCAAAGTTTGTCCAGTTTGACTCGAAAAAGTCAAACTGGACAAATACACTGGACGGAAGGAGTAATATATTTGAGTTTTCATACAATTAAATCATACAATCTTTATTCATCAATCAAACAAAAATTACACTGCATATTGTTACAAAAATTATTGCACTAAATTATTTCATTGTATCTACATGTAATGTAGCTTTCATTTAATTATTGAATGAGTAATGCTAGAATCACAAACAAAGCATTCACAAATTACACAAACTTACGAATACGTAGAATAATACGGAGTAGTTCCAAATAATGGCCTCAAATAAAGAAAAAAAATCCTAACTTAAATACACAACTAGAAAGTTGGTGTACTTTGTAAATATTTTGTTTGTGACTCTAGCATTACAAGATGTACTCCGTAATATATAGAGTGGATTACAAGGATTGATGGAGTTAAACATACTGGATTGCTTAATTCTACAGCCATTTCTAACCAGGCACATGAGGGCAACGTATATAGCTAAGAAACAAACCAAGAAAAAATAGCCATGTAGTGCAAACAAATCTCTGGCTATGTTTGGCATTAGCTTGGAGGTTTTGCAAATGTTACCCAACAGTAGCTTTTAGCGTCAACGTTTTCCACGTCAATCTGGACCATTAAAAAATAACCCAAAACGCTATTCCCAAACGAAGCTTCTAACAGTGTGATTGATAATCCAATCCACTCTTCACGCCGTTAAGGGCTGAGTGTGAATCATTGGTGGAACTCGGTATGACCAGCAATATCCCTGCACCACAATCTAGCCTCTTTGGCCAACTTCAAGCTTCTAGCGATCACAAATCCGGTCTTTTGATGTGTAGACGTTGGAACATACGATTTCGCCTCCTCCTCTCTCCCTAATAACAATGCCTCTCTAGCTGGAACCACATTCTTCCACCAAAACTCCCACAATATCCCATGCATCAACTCCCAATACTCGCGATCTCTACCCACACGAAATATCGTGCTCCCGTTTGGTGTCCAACAATACAAATCCACCCAATCTCGGTTCATGATTTCCATTTGTCCTTGTACTTGAGGCATATAGTAAAAAGGCATGGTCGACCACGGGAGCCCCTCTTCAGGCTTCCCCTTGTTGTAAGGGCACTTCACCTCTAGAATCCCTCCTCCTCCTCCTCCACCTTCTTCTTGTAAGAGTCCGTCTGGAGACGCACCGATCCAATCGTACTTATCATCCGAATGCAATGCAAACCCCAATGAGCTCACCTCGCGTCTCGTGATGCTCTTGTATTGCTCGATAGCCACTTCTTCCATGAGAGAACCCCACTCCATGGCACACTTACTAGGGGACTCCACAGGTGGTGGATGATGGCCATCGAGCACAAACACTTTCTCTTGCCAAAGTTCGTACCGGCGCTTCCCTTTCCATAGTCCCAATGCGGTGCTAAAGGTGCTCGTGGTCAACTTGTCCTTACGAAGGGCAAACCACTCCTCGGACCGTTGTGGGGCATTAGGTGGAGATATGTTGCCCGTCAAAAGCAATGACGGGCAAGGATGGACTAGACTTACACTTGTGGACAAGCTTGTCGACGCGCACGTCGAAAATATTGTCGCGAAAATGATTCTGGACTTTCTTTTGCAGGGAAGGGGAACAAGAGTGTTGGAGATTAAACTGAATCTGCCAAAGCAGGTGTTGGCCATTGTTGATAATGATACCTATATGAGAGATAACATGACATTAAATTCTTGCAATCCATTCCAAGCTATTAAAGTTTTAAATTCAAGCCCAATTCACACGAATCGAAATACGTGTGAAATTCAAACATCAATATATAATTAGGGTTTCATAACAGGTCCGAAACGAATTGGGAGCAAAATGTGTTAAAAGTTTCCGGTTCTCTGAAATTGAGCTGCAAGTATCTGACCTAATGCAGTTGAAAATGGAAAAGGATCTCTTCAGATGATTCTATAGAATTCCACACGAAAAAAAAATAGAAATGATGCGGTTATACATACCTATGCCCTCGCGGACGGCGGTCGGAGTTGAATGAAAAGAGCCGGAGAAGGGATATCAGGAGCTGAGACGACGCCGTGATTGGTGTATTCTGGGTTCTGAGCTATGGCGGAGCAAGGCGGCGGACATTTTCCTTCTCCCCTAAAAATGGAACTAGGAAAGGCATTTCATTTTTTTCTAAATCTAGTGTTCGAGTTTACGCTTAGGAAAAGGAGCATGGTAATAAAAATTGTTTACCCAAGTACAAAGATATCGCAAATAATTTTAAAAGTAAAAATTTAAATTTATAAACAGGAGGTTTGAAAATTTTGTGACGTTTTATTTCTATCTACATCATCTTTTCATAATAGATGAATATATTTTTTAAAAATAAACAAAATTTTTTAGATATATTAAAATCAAATAAATGTAGATATAATGTTTGCTTACATTCATTGAAAATCTAGTAATGTAACACTCCCTCTGTCCAAAAAATTTCTCATTCACTATTCTCAAGGTCAAATTTATTTACTTTGTTAACATATTTTTGTTGTTCATTTGACAAAATACTAGTCATATTATTTCTAGTTTTTTAAATCTTTGATGTACTTCTTAAATTTGTAATTATTATTTTTTTTACCACGTGATTTTTTCTATAAAATAATTCGAAGATAACTTTAGTCAAACATCGTTAAACGCAATGATACTATAACACGAAAAAGAAGAATGAAAATTTTATTTGAGAAGAAAGATGGTATTGTTGTCATAGGCATAGTGGATTGCATACTTCGAATAAAGATTGAAAAGCACAACTTATTCCACTGTTTAGCACAATGTACAATGAGTTTAACTGGTCCATGCTTCAGCTTTAATTAACAAATTATTTTCACTGTATTTAAACATTGGGTTTACAACACCAAACATGTCTGGAATAACCCTCAACCATTCTCAATCCATCCTTACAAGAACTCCCCTTTATTCATTCATGGAGTTTAAAAATAAAAGTATAATAAGAACAAGAAACAGACAATGGGAGCAAGCCCCCACCCCCACCCAATCAGTCAATACAAAAGATTCACCTTGTGCATTATTATCATTATCAGCTAAGCACACTAGCCGGCAAAGACGGTCCCACAATCCGATTCCAGGCAACAACCTCGCCGCTGCAATGTCCAACTCTGACTCCAACGCTTAGTTTCTTCTCAACAGGTCCATGACTTCCGCTTCCAGAAGCTTCCAATTTCCCGGGACCCGGAGTCTCGGCAAGGGCCATACTTTCAGTAGCAGAAAGGGCCATACTTTCAGTAGCTATGTGTTTAAGGCGATAGCGTTCTGCCCGTGACCCGATGACCTGACCCAGAATTGAGGCGGCAATGGTGAATGCCATGGCGGCCTTGGGCATCAGTATGGATTTGCGGAGCATGCCGATGAAGGGTACGGCCGCATGGACTGCGGTGAACCATGAGAGGGAAAATTTCTTTGTGTGCTCCCTCCATATTCCCAATGGGATGTTTGCAGCCATCCCCATGGCGCCAATCACCAGTACCTTTGTGGACAGCGATTGTGGTCTGAGGTTTTTGGCAAATGCTGTTCGTGATATTGCTGCCCTGGCTGCAACTACAGCGGCAGGGCATTTCAACTGCACGCCGGGTGGGGGCTGGATGGCCTTTGCCACCAGTGGAAGGACTTTACTCACGGCCCGGTATGACTTTGCTATTGGACAATTTCCACTTTGCAACCACTCGTTGCTCAGTGCCTCGTGTTTTGAACTTCCACCCTATAATATTTTTAAAAAAATCAAGGAATGATTACAAACAAAACATTAAGTTGTCGTTTGGTAAGACGTAATGAAATGTAATGGTAGCATGGTAGGCATTTTATTTGGCTTGTTAACCAAAATTTCCAAAGCTCTACAAAAGACCCAAAATTAAATTTTCACTAAACACTAGTTATACAACTTCCCAGCTTGAGATGGAGAACAACAACAGTTCCAAATATCTTTCCAACCCCATAGGGGTCAGGTCAAGATGTATGCAACTTCACCCCTGTAAAAAACAAAGAAGAGTCCAATAGACCCTTCTTGTATTGCTGTATTTAGTGCCCAAGACTTCATGGAAAGTAAGAAGCAAAGGAAGTTTAATATGCCAGCTTGAGAAGGAAAACAAGAACAAAAATGTTCCAGAAAAGTATCCAATGTATACCTGTGAAGAACTCTCTTTGGATGATTTCGAATTCTTTTTGTTATTCTTCCACTTCTTTGAAAATGCATCAAAACCAAAAGGCCCTCCAAGTCCGAAACCTGATAGGCTTATGGTAGCTGCCTTTGCAGCCAAAGGGTTGAACTGGGCTGATGCTGGTTCAGACTTTGTCTTCTCATTCCAAATGGACGATCTTCCAGAAAGTGGGACCACACCGTCCTGCCCGTGGAAAAGTCGGAAGGCCGTATCAAAGTTGGGACCATCTTCAAAGATAGGACCTTTACCTTCACGTACCTGATAAGAAGGCTGATGAGAGACAGTCCCAAAATAGCATAGTGAAAAGATAGGGGATCCATGAAACACATTTCTTAAACTGCATAAAAGACATGCTTGAATCCCAGTAAATGATCAGGAAATTTAATATTTAAAAAAAAACCTATTTCTTATGTTTGGCTTTACCTTGGAAGATACAATAACAACAAACCTAGTGTATTCCCACAAGCAGGGTGTGAAGAGGGTAGGATGTATGCACACCTTACCACTACCCAAAAAGGATAGAGAAAAGAGGATGTTTCCATAAGTCCTTTGACTCAAAAGGACTAAACTCAAAATTATTTAGCACAAGATTAGTTGGATTTGCCTTGGAAATGCAAAGGAAAATGAAATATTCTTTATGATTTTTTGTTCGATTTTTTCACACAAATTTAGATTTCTTATTATAATATAAATAAATTAAAAAATAAAATGATTTTGAACAAACTTACAAAATAAATGTATTGAATTTCAGTTGAATTTTTTATACTCCAACATTTTCTTTCTAATTTCCCTCCCAATGATCCCCCCCTACAACTTTTCCCTTCTTTTTTTCTGGACTCCAAATGCACCCGACCCTAATAGCATTGCATAAATTCAAAAACTTACAGGCATTGAGAAAGCCATAGAGCTTGAAAAAGAGAAATTTGTGGGCTCATTGATGTTACGCAAAAACGGGCACCTCATAATGTCTTGTTGAAATGATGAAGAGTCATCATTAAAGTTCCTACAGAAAAGATCCATTCTTTACAAAGGATGGTGTGACCTGCACAAAGTTGGAAAGTTATGAGCAAGTCAGACATCACAGCTTAAATGCTAGAATAACTAAAAACACCTCCAGATCCAAAGAATCAGTCTATCAGAGTCACAATGTCACTTGATCATAACAGATCTACCAAACCAAACTACACAAACCAAGTAAATCTCACTCAAAAGTAGAGTCACGGACACGATATAGGCAGCCCGCAGCCCTTACCTCTACCCCCAAGGAGTAGAGAGGTTTCTGAGAGAACCTCAACAAATAGAGACAAATACAAAACCCTAATTGAAAATCAGACATCATACACAGAAAGGCGGGGGATATGAAATATGAGAAAACATATTTCCCAAATAATCATATCAATAACATGTGGAACCACAGAATACATTATTTACCTAATCATATGTTACAACACTTCCATATCAAAAAGAGAAAGCACAATGTCTAGAAAACTTCTAGAAATGCATACATCACTTCTAATCTACAGATTCCTAATGCAAAGTACATTATCTCGACGGGTAAAAGGGTTGTAGATTCACAAAGCATCCTTTCGAGCGAGGATCCAGGGAAGGATCACACTAAAAGGAGGCCATGTAGAAATGTCGTCAAGCCTTGTCTAACAATTTCAGAAGAGTCATACAATGACAAGTCAACTGGTGTTCCAGGGTTCCCCTTCCTCATCCTGACGGGTAAAACACAAAGCATACATCCAACTACGAAACATGTACTCGATTACCTCCCCACACAATGAATTTTTAGCTCAAGCTCAAGCACCTCAAATCAGCAACGGACACAATAATCTTGCCAATAATTCATGAAATTCAAGACAACTATGTCACAAAAACAAATGCAACAACCTAAATATTTCCTTTCTCAATTCATAACAATCAGCTAAACCAACTGACAATCACGCAAGCAAGCAGATTCACCTATAGATTAATAATTGCATCAAATCACATCGACTTCAAGACGATGATCGACCACTTAATTTCAGCTGTTGAGATTTAAAAAAACCTAACAGGAAGATGAACAAATAAACACCAACAGTCCAAAGTCAAAAGAACTTCTCGGAACAACTGAACCCTGAAAATCTGAGATCTTGCGAACGCGAACAGAAACGAACGAACGACTAATCTGAGATTCTGATAAGAGAACCCTAAAAATCAAACTCGAACAAAATAATACTCCGTAATAAGAATATGAATAGAATCAAACCTGAAGAGAGATGAGAGCTTTCCGATCGAGAGAGAAATTGAGCGGGTGGGTGGGTAATCGGTGACCGGTGGAGGGAGAGAAATTTTTAAACGACGCCGTGGAGAGCACAAGCCATGTTTGACGGAGACTATAAAGAAGGTAAGGTCGTTGTGGAATTGGTATTCATGGCGTGTGCTTTTATATAATTGTTGACTTTTATTTTGATTTCTCCTTTTCCTACATTGATTTTATTGCTTAGTTTTTTCCCACTAAAATTAGGAATACATTAAAGAAAATGTATCTTTTATCCTTTTCTTTATAAATAAATTTGAGATTCTAAGCTTTAAGAACTTGACACATTGCTTACATGACACCTATGTGAAAATTGAAAAGAGTTAAATTACTTTAAAAAATATTTTTCTATTCCATCTTCCTCCACTTCCTAAAAAGAATTTAAAAGAAAATTAAATACATACTTACTTTTTTTTAATTCTTTCATCTTCAATTATTTTCTCCATTCCTTACGCTTATTTTTTAAAAATGATAACTACGCTTTCAAAAATTAATTAATCCAAATTTAATACTTACAATATTTTTTCTCGTATTTCAAATCATGTTAAAAATTACACACGAGTTTTGAATTTATGAATATTCTTTAATAAAATAAAATAGTCATGTCAAGTATATATTCAATTATGTTGCATCAAAAGATTTTAAAAAAATTATGTGGTTTTATCAATTTATTACTCAAA